TTTAGGCCATAAAATCTATAAGATAGATATGTACCTGCAAGACAGCGGTGAGAGCGGTGCAGCCGCTGCAGTAAGAATCAATGGAAGGATGGATCTTGAGATCAAGATCGATGAGGGAGAATGTTTTCAGGCAAGATTGCTTCCATATATCAAACGGAGAGAAACATTCCGGAGAAGATGATAAAGATGCAAGAGTTTGTTGCCATTGGCAAAGTAGTGAAGATGGAAATAACTTTTTTACTCTTTTGGTTATCACATGTCCCCATGGTCCATGTCCATCGAACATCCCACAAAATGTTATGTCTTCTTGGCACCCAAACCCCTATATTACAAAACAATTTGTAATTTCTCAACTTATTAACTAGATAATAGTTGCAGCTAAAATTATTGACACTAATAATACACATGAAAGAAAATTACATAACATATAGTATTTTTGTATAAACTGTACCTCCCAAACAATGGCACGGTCTTGGTTGATTCCTTTCTCACCTCTATTAGAACAAATAGAGGTGAATCTTTTTGAAGTTTCTGAGTTAACAAAGCCTGATGAACCAAGCAAAGTCGAGTTCTTCTTGGCATCTTTCATCAACGTTTTTGCAATCTCTCTGCCTCCATCTTCATCTTCTGATATATATTTTCCTTTCTTCATCGATACACTTCTCGCCAACCCGTCCAAGAAAGCAGGCAGAAGCACCATTCTCTAGTGCTCTTACGATCCTACAATAACTATAGATAAAAACTTTTTATGAATAAGTTACAGTTGTTCCGAGTAATACCAAGTGATATGAAGTTAGGTATACATAAACATAATAAAGGAAATAAAAAGAGATTTGAGGTTTAATAAGTAAATTACCCTTTCTCCGGTGAGGATTCTTGATCGTAGTTTCTCTGTTGATGACTTTTCCTGTTGCTGGATTTACTACTTATAAGCTGGTGAATGGTCTCTATGACTCATCACCTTTCTCTTTCTCTCTTTCGACTTATTCTAAGCCTTTTATTTTATACAATACATTCTTTTTTGCATGTCGATAAGGACACGTATATGATAAGCATAAAGTTGACGACAATTTTTTATATACATGGTTGAAGGCTATAACAAGTGGTTATATTTGGTCAGTTTAAGGAAACGTACGTATATGTATGTTATTTGTTAAAAACGTATGTATATATTTTTATTGATTAAAAAAAATGGTAAAATTGCATCACATTCTATTTACTTTAAAGGAGATACAAAACTAAGAAATTATATGTTCAAACTCAAGTATATATAAACAAATCACAATAACATAAATCATGAACAATTATATATAAACAAAGTTGTCGAAGAATAAACTAATTCAACATAGATTTAAAATATACAAGTCTAAAATTATATATCATATATGAATACCAGCTTTTCTGTTTACTTGTTAGGTAGTTGGACTCGTGAACGAATTATAAATGAACGAGTTTCTCTACTGGGGCTGAAAGTACATATAGGATAGTCAAGTAAAAAAAGTTATTTTAAAGTTGTATTTGTATGTTAGTTTGGTGTATTATTGGGTAAATTTTTATATGCGTATGTATCTATAAAGATGTATTTTCTGTCAAATGGTGTATTTCAGACTTTAAAATGGTATATGCATCTGTCCAACATGTATTATGGAAGTGTTAGGCGAAGATGGACATATGTTAATTTTTAGGTCAAATTAATCGAACCCGTTACAACAACCACAGTGAATAACCAATCAAAAACTTCATCACGATATAAAATAAAGTTTTCACACCGACAACTGAATCAATTATAGCTGCTTAATACCTCATTATGATAGAGATGTATACACTTTTAAATAGTAAAACGTCAAAAATTAAATTTGGTTGTGGAAGCAAATCAATATCTTAATGAATGTGGTGGAAATATAAAATGATATCATGTGGGGTTTGTTAAACAATAAGCACTTGTCGTAAAAAGTTGTGGCTGTGAGAGGTTCTCGAATCTAAAAGCTAATGGTAAGTGCCTTTGATCCAAAACAACTCTTATCTTTAAAATAAGTTATTGTATTACACCTTAGTCAGATAATATGTTCCTATCATTCAAATGTAATAACATACAAAAATACGTGTGTATATATAATCACATTGTAAAGTGGGGTCTTTAATTACCTTTTAGTTTGCTTTTTTCACTAAGCTTTACTTTTCCTTGCAATTTATAAACCAACTTTATTCTTTCTTTTTTTTTGTAACACTAAACCAACTTTATTCATCTATATGATTTATGCCTAAATATATATGCATATGTTAGATTTTATACATGTCCTCTTTGCTAGATTTATTAGGTATCCATAGATATCAGTGCTTACGACTTTCATATTAAAATTAAGTTTGAATAATTATTAATTAAGAGAGTGCGGACTTAATGATGTGGGCGGTACATCGTGATAATTGTTGTCAAATAAGCTACAAAAATTTATGGAAAGAGATAAGATAAATTATTATGCGCTAGATGGAATATGCTAAATGCATGGTCACAATGGAGCAAGCTAACGATACCATATCTAATTCTTCTTTGAGAAAGGATGAAACAAAAATAGATTTATTTACAATTAATTAACGACATACTATTAAGCTACAACTTAATTTTATTTAGCTTTGGTAACCCCTTTCAGTAGTATCTTGTAAATGTGTTTGTTTACGTATCCAATTGACCACCAAATCCTCCAAATGGTATTACTTAACTTTTCATCTTTGAATATTCTTTTGTAAGTTGGGACATAACACACAAATAGATACAACCAGTTGAAACAAACACATGACACAACGAAGAGATGCAAGTGGCAAAGATGGAGTTGTTTGATTCAGAGGCAAACAACAAGAGACACAAACTAAATGTCACATGGCTCCTCGTGGATCTCGACACCGACATTAGATTATTCACTAGTTTTCTTTCGCATGGTTACAAATCATATGTGGGTGGCTGACAAATTTAAAAGTTAGGCATAAGATAGATATTTTTAACTTGTAGAATAGCAAAATAGAGAGCAATCAATAATAGCAAAATGGCTTCTCTTCTGAGTTCCCTTAATATCTCTCTCTATACAACCATCTTTGATTCGTTCCCATAAACACATGTGAGTTGGATTGGTTAAATAGAAGCCCTCCTCTTTAGGAACCGCGCCTGAATCAAGTCTTCGCTCAACAAACACGATTCACTCTCGGCTTGGAGTGGGTAGCCCCATAAATTACCACAACAGTTCCGTCCGGTGGGCCAGGCCAGTCTTCCACCATCTTAGTGTCCCCACATAGGTCACAAGCTCTTGTTACTGAGCTCGACATCTCTTTGTATAGTTGAATCTAAGACGGGAACAATTATCTGATCTGTCTAGAAACAAATAGCCAAAGGTCATATTTTTGTAAATATTAGCACGCGAAGCAGTCAGAATCTTTAAGACCCTCTTCAATCACATGATTCACAACCACTATTTGAAAGTTCAAGTTAAGAAGGTTTAGATGAGTCTACTTACGACATCAATTATGATCACTTCTGTAATCCCCGTGATCTTTAAATTTAGTAGGGTTTTGAACAATGTGAAACCTTTCAATTTCAAAGCTTTTTGGTTAATTGTATTATGTGTTCTCTGCATGAAGTTCCCTTCCATGTATGCATTGCACTTATTTGCATGGACTGTTTCAACTACTGAAATTGGAAAATGTTTTTTTCTTTCTTTCTAATATTGTATTTTTTTTTCTTTCTTTCTAATATTGTATATAGATACTGGATAAACGCCGTATAATAAAAATCAAATTTCTTCTCAAAAATCCAACAAAAATAATAAGGAAAACAGATTGTGTAACTAAATTTAAATAGATATCATGTACTAAATTTAAAATACAAAATTATGTTAATTCGGACGCCAAAAGAAACTTAGTCATTAATATGGGTTTAGGCGGCAGAACAACGAGAGTGAAACCTTTCAGTTTCAAAAATGATCAGAAGAACCCAACATTCTTAACCATAAAGGAAGAATAAGTTATATTTTACAAAACCACGTACATATATGTATAATATATATATATAGATCTCTAAAATATTATTTGAGAAGTCAATTTCCTATGTGTCGCGCTCACGTTAACTCTCGCGATGATTGATTACATAGATACCCTTAATGAATTGTTAGATTTTAAAATTTATTATTAATTTTTTTTATTTAGTTTCTTTTTTTTTTTAAATTTTTCCAATTAATATTTATAATAAAAAGGAAATATTTCTAAAAATTTTAAACAGATTTAAAAACGAAAATATATGTATATAATATGACTTTATTAAAAAAGAAAGTTCACGAAATAGTAATATACCCCATTAATATATATTTTTAAATAACATATAATATATTTTCAAAATAATAAAAATATATATGTTCATGAACATCCAAAATTTATCAGTTACACTTTATTTTCTAATATTTTTAAGAAATCAACATATAATTTGATAAATATTATGAAAATACTTGTATATTTAAGCAATAAATAAAAATAATTTGAGTTGACTTAACTAAAATAAGGAATAAATAAATATTATGAAAATACGTGTATATTTAAGCGATAAATATAACTAATTTGATTGGACTTAACTAAAATAAAAAGTAAGTATGCTTCAATTTTAACTCAATATACTCACAACATGAATGACTCGACTAATTTAATTTATATCCAAAATTAAACATCTAAGTATAATAAGAACATATAATTTTATAGTAATAATAATCTATTTAATTTTATACATATAAATTAGAGGTTGACTCAAAGCATATTAAAAAGAAAAATAAAATATTAACCAATTACAATTTATTCTTTTTCGGAATTTATATATATAGACTTCAAAATATTATCATTATATTCTAGTTTAAGCACAATATATATATATATATATATATACATATATATATATATATATATATATATTAAGTTATATATAATTTAACTATAATATATTTACATATCTAAGACAATAACCAACCGGAATGAAAATAAGAAAATTAATCAAAGTTTTATTATATTTACAATAAAAAAATATTATAGCTGAATTCGAAAAATAAATATTATCCAATATACCAAATTGATAACCAAACCGACTATTGATCCAAAAATAATTAAACCGACAATAATATATTCAAATTCATATGTATAATTAGAATAATATAATATTTATTAATATAAATTATACATATAAATTGATACAAAACTTTTGAACAAACAAAAAAAAAATTTGATACAAAACTAAAACTAAATATCAATCAATTATTATAAAATTTTACTTTTATGAATATTCATACCCGTGCATGAGCACGGGAAAATCACCTAGTAGATATTGTTGGGCCCAAATATGGCCCGTCGGCTGAAATTAGCGAACTAGTTAAATCAAGCCCAATAACGGATCGAATATGGGCTATTACCTCAAAGAAGAATACAGCTCACCTAAGGAAGGAAGCTGCTCTCGGGAAAGAGATCACGAGAAAGAGGTCACGAGAAGGAGGTCACGGAGGAGAGGTCCGGATTCTTTCGTCGGGACCTGATAAAACAGCCTAGGAAGCGAAGATAGAAACGTGCAAGACCTAGTCAAGAGGAAGCTGTTGCAAATCCCGCAACTCATGGAGATAATCACGGAGGTTTCGCCGGAAGAAGTTGGACGTGACCTAGTGCTATATAAAGAAGAGATGAGATCAGAGAGGGGGGATTCGATTCATTCCAGAGAGAGAGACTCCAATACTTTTTGTTCTTAATCATTCTCTATATATCATTGTTCTTTCTATTCAGATCAAAGGGATCATCTTTGTAAACTCTTTTATTACCAAAAATCAATATAAACAACGTATTCATTCATACAAGTTCCAACAGGATTCAGCCCAC